CTATGTATACCTATACACACACACACACACATACACACACAAACACACATATACACAAACAAGGTTGACTGAAAGCAACAGGAGGCAATTGGAGCAAAAGGGGACAATAGTCCCCAGAAATTGCCTTTAAGGAACCACTAACATCTGCTAATATAAGCCCAATAAAACATAGATAATAGTAAGCAAGTCTTCTCTTAGAGTAGTAGATTGGGGAAGCAAGATATTAACTACTTGCAAATAAAAGGTTGCACTCTGGTATTTCAGATTCCAATGACTAGATGTTGCTTCTTACTAAAGAGGCAGCTCTCCATCAGCAAGGAGGAGTTCCAACCACAGAGCTCTATTGTTCCTGATCTAAAGACGTGCTGGTCTGAGTGGCCACCCTCAGAAACTCAGTCCTAACTCAAAGACTCAACCCAGGCTGTTCCCAGTAATGGATGGCTGTCATGTATCCATTATTTCCTTCCTTTGTGCATGTGTGGATACACTCTTACAGGCATTACAATTAACAACAAAACAACGCCCCCCCCCAAAAAAAACTAAAATGAGACCATTTTCTAAATAATGCCTTAAAAAACATACCTAATTTTACCAAATATCCACTATTGCTGTACTTTAAATATTTTATTCCAGAGGGTTTTGTATACCCTTCAACTGTGTCTAATTACTATCACAAAACAGTAACTAGCTCTGAGAAATCTCCCTCCTCCATTTCTCTAAGTCAGTGTTTCTCATTCTTTAGTGTGTGCCTGAACCACTCCGGGATCTCAAAATGTTAAAACGCAGTGTCTGATTCAGAGGTCTGGGATGGGGTCTAACATTCTACATTTCTAACAACTCTCAGGTGACGCTGACAGTTGGTATGTGGACAGCATTTTGAAAAGCAAGATAGAGGTACATTATTCTAAGATCTGGAGCTAATAGAAAATGGACTTTTTTTTCTCTTAAATTTCTCTAAGAATGGTATTTTTCCAGGATTTCAAATAAAGTTTCAAGTTAGTTTCCAGGTAGTTCAATAGGTAGCTGTGCTCAAAAGAGAAAAAGAGTGTAGTTATTGATGACAAGCAGCAGGACAAAGACAGGAGCCTGGACGATAGGGCTTGACTTAGACTAACAAGCAGTCCTCCTAAGCGTGTCGATACTCGTGAGTCAGCCACCCTTAACTGATGGCTGTGCACATGTCGCCAAGCACAGTGACTTCGACAACACTGTCCTGCTGCTTTGCAGAACACCAATGACTTTT